CGCATTCGCTAATGGGGACAGTTCGGGCGGAGGCAGAGCAAAGCCATGCGTGTGTGTGTGTATATATATATATACATGTATAAATGTAAATATAAATATAAATAAATAAATATATATATATATATACATAAGTAAAGTGATAAATAAATAAATATATATATATATATATATATTGCCTCTGACTTTAGGTTTTCTGAGTTTTAGGTTTAGGTTAATAAGGTGTTGGGTTGTTGTCTGGCACCCGGGTCACCATGGTCAGGCCAGAGCCCTCAGCAACTCCAGAAAGTTTCGTTTAGGGTTTAGGGTTTAGGGTTTAGGGTTTAGGGTTTAGGGTTTGGGGTTTAGGGTTTAGGGTTTAGGGTTCAGGGTTTAGGGTTTAGGGTTTCGCCCTATAGCAGGGCACCGTAAAAAGAGCCACAAAGTAGAGACGCCAAATGCATTTTGCAGATTAGCCTGTCTCCGCCCTAAACCCTAAACCCTAAACCCTAAACCCCAAACCCTAAACCCTAAACCCTAAACCCTACCACTGAAGGCACGCCTTTATTGGCCTGGGATTCGAGGACGGTTCCAGGGTCTTCTTGGGCAAATGTTCATGCTGGAGTCTTGAGTTGAGGGTCTAACCTAATGTTACTTATATTACAGTGGTATATCTGCATATGTGTCTCTGTTTTTTTTTTTTTTTTGTTGTTGTTGTTTTTTTTTTTAATGTAGTGTATGTATATATGTGTACATGTACATACAGCTTTCGGCATTTCGGGTTCGAGGCATTGGCGGGCCTTGATGCGGTGCTTGGGTCCAGGTTCGAGCTGGAGGCAGCGCAGGAACAGAGGGGAAACCCTTTTTCAGTATTTAAAGTATATTGTTCGTATGTTTATAGTATGTGTTTACTAGATCTATAGTAGATTGATAGTAGATTTATAGTAGATTTATAGTAGATATCTAGTAGATATATAGTATACCTTAAAGTATATCGATTGTCTATAATTTTTTACAGTAGATGCTACCTTTATGTTGATATTTCACCCAAAGTACCCGAATTTGAAATGCTCATGTAGTACAGCTCAAATTCAGGCAATGACAAGTCGAACGTCTGAACCCCACACTGGGCTGTGGTTTTTCGCTTTGCATGTGTATTCAGTTCTTCATAGGGGAGCAGATTAGCACAACGGCATCAAAGTGTATGTAGCCTCTAAGCCTGAAGTCTACCATGAGGGCTGCTTTGCTGCTGCGAGCAGCCTACTTCACACATGCTTCACTGGGAGGTTTGCGGATGGGCTCATTTGCTTGCAGCTTCGAGGTCACCGTGTGAAGCAGCAAGAAGTTGCCTTTTTCGAGCCCAACACCTATTTGTTACAGGTTGCTCTTGTGCAGGCTTGTAAGATAGGCCCTAAATTATAAGCCCTAAATTATACACCCTAAACCCTAAACCCTATGGGGCCAGCCCAAAGAGGACAGAAATGACGCCTTCGACTTTAACGTCACCCTCTCGGATTTTAAGACGACCTGGGTGGACCGGGAGAAGGCCAGCGGTTGCTTTTCAACTGCGACGGTCACAGGGTTGCTTGTAGGGTTTAGGGTTTAGGGTTTAGGGTTTGGGGTTTAGGGTTTAGCGTTTAGGGGTGTGTTTTTGTGGTTTTGGGTTGAGGCGTACCCATTTTCAGGGTTTAGGGCGGCAAATCTCCAGTATGGAACCCTGGCTGTAGAATTCGCTAGGGATGCCTAGATTTTGCCGTTTAGACTGGTCTTCAAGAATTAGAGGTACCTTCTTGAAACATCCTACACGAGCAAGTCTTGAATGTCTCAGGGACAGCCCTCTGTTAGGAGCTACCAGAGTAGGGGTCGTGTTCGGGACATGTCGGGCCCCCTTGATGTGGCGCGGGGAACTACTTCAGCAGTCGCAGTCTTCCTTTTCAAGGGTTTGAGGGTTTGAGCTTCGGGGTGCTTACAGAAGTGTACTTATGTCCCTTAAGTAGGTTATAAGTAGACTTTTAACTGGGGATATACGTACCCATGAACCTCCAAGTAGGGTGTGGGCTATCATGCCCTAACGCAATCCCCTGCACCCCTGAAGAACACAAGCAGTTAAGTGGATTCTGTCCGTAAGAACGAGGAGTCCATCACTCCATGCTTAGTAGCACAGGTCCGGGCTACTCTACAGGTCCGAGCCTCTTACCCCATACGGTGCAATGCATTTCCCCCTTCTCTTAGGGCAGTTACATGGTCCCTTAATATGAGCCCTTAAAAGGGGACCCCTGCAACACGCTTTATATACCCTATACAACCCAAGGACCAATGCTTCAGAGCCCTTTAAAGTACGCAGGTAAGGGACCATTCAGGGCCCATATAACTACCCTTAGATGTTCCCGACTTTGAATTTCAGAACTCTCAGACGACTCAAAGCCCTCGCTGATCCCCTTCCCTGATCGCCCCAAGCACCTTTCCATTAGGATGCCCTCAGCTCCAAACCCTATAAGGGGCCCCCCTCCCCTATAGGGTTTGGGGCTCAGGGGTTTTGAGCTCCAAACTGTATACCGTTGAAAGGATGAGGAGTGTGGTGCTTGAGGGCTATCCCGTAAACCCTGCAAGTCTCAGTTAGTCCCTCAACCTTACACACTAAACTTAATTCCCTATGACCCGAAGCCCCGCAGCGACAGGAGGCAGAGAAGCCCATTCAGCCAACTGGCCCTGGGAAGGACACAGGGGCGCCGGGCAATGCTGTAGGGTTTGGGGCTGTGGGTTGCCTACAGGGGTTTAGGGATTTGGGTTTAGGGTTGAGACGGAATGGCAATTTTTTGGGCTTTTACAGTAAGCCCTAATAAACAACACACCCGCCATAAACCCTCAAACCGCAAAGGGTCAACAATAACAAGAGCAAGGTCAGTCAAACGGCAGCAAAAGCAGCAACAACGACACTCTAACCACCACACCCTACACCCTCTAAACCCTTAACCCTAAACCCTACACCCCTCTACCCTAAACCCTAACCCTCTACCCTAAACCCTAAACCCGAAACCCTAAATCCTAAACCCTAAACCGCAGCCTTCCTAGAGTCGCTAAATCTGCAACCCTAATGCCTAAACGCTAAACAGTGCCCCAAACCCCTGAACCCTGAACCCTCAGCTGGGCGTTCGAGACGTAAGGGAAAAGGGTTGGGGTTTAGGGTTTAGGGTTTAGGGTTTAGGGTTTAGGGTTTAGGGTTTAGGGTTCAGGGTTTAGGGCTTAGGGCTTAGGGTTTAGCGCAGGCGTGCAGCCGCATCGTGCCAGGACCTGTCGCTGAAAGAAGGCCCGGGACTGAGCCAATAGGGTTTGGGGGGGGGGGGGGGGGTTTTAGGGGTTTAGTTTTCTTTGTGCGCATATCTATATAGACACACATCAATGTGTTGAACTTCTTGTGTTTAAAGTTTTGGGTCTGAGGGGTTTCGGGGTGTAGGGATTTAGTTTTGAGACATTTTGTTGTTGTTTTTGTTCAGTTGTGAGAGCTTTTTGGGTTCAGGGGTGTGGGGGTTTAGTTTGGAGAGCTTTGGGGCTCAGAGTCTAGGGTTGGGGGTTTTGGGGTGCAGGGGCCTAGTTCTGAGAGTTTTTGGGTTCAGGGGTTGAAGGGTTTAGTCTGTAGAGTTTTGGGCTTTGGAGCTTAGGGGTGTAGTTTTTAGAGTTTTGCGTCTAGGGATTTAGTTGTGAGACCTTGGGTGTGGAGGTTTAGGGGTTTAGGTGTTCAGGGGTTTAGTGTTGAGAGTTTCGGGATTCGGCTTCGGAGGCTTAGGGGTTTAGTTTTAAAGCTTGGGTTTAGCCTTGTGGGCGTTCAGGTTGGGATGTTCCCCCTTTTATAGGGATGATCATAGGGGGTACTATAATCCCGAGTAAGGACTGTTAGTATCAGGGGGAAGATCCCAAGGTTCAGGTGTCTGGTCAGGGTTGTGGAGTTCTAAAGCCTCCAGCTCGGTCGTAGTTCATCGTCCCTTAAGCAGAGTAAGACAACTGCCACCTACAGGGTTTAGAGGAATCGTCCCTTAAGCAGAGTCTACAGGGTTTAGAGGAATGCAAAACCCAAGGTTCTTGGGATGATATTGACCCCCGACATCTGTGGCTCCAGCTCGGTGTATGGGGCTTGTAGGGTTGCATTCTTCGACAACCAAACATCAATGTTGGAAAATGCTTCCTTGCGGATTTCGGGTTTAGGCTCAGGGTTTACGGATGCCTAGGTTGGTAGCCCTGGATCTACCGTAGTGGGAGCGGCACAAGTAGGATGACGTTGATACCCTGACCCTAAACCCTAAACCCTAAACCCGAAACCCTAAACCCTAAACCCTAAACCCTAAACCCTAAACCCATGCTTTTGGGTCTAAACCCAAGAAATTCAGCGCCCAAGCCCCCGGAGTAGCTCAGCCATGTAAGCCCTGCATGGATGGGTTGCCAGAGGCGGTTCTGGCACGCGACTTGGCCAGCTGGCTTCTAAAACCCTTTGAAACCCTATACCCTAAATCCTGACCCGAAACCCTAAACACTAAACCCTAAAGCCTCAACCCCTCAACCCCTAACCCTAAACCCTAAGCCAAGGTTCTTGAGGCTCCCTAAACCCGAAGCCCTAAACCCTAAACCCTCAGCATCCGAGTCACCGCATTCTGGCCATGTGCGTAAAGGAGACTGGAGTCACTAGAGAGCCTTGCTACATGGAGGGTTCCAGCAATTCGAAGCCCTAACCCCTAAACCATAAGTCCTAAACCTCTAAACCCTCAGCCTTATCCAGAAACGAGAGCAAAACGCACAGACACAGCCACAGACGAAGACAAAGACACCGGAACCCTGACACCGACACGGGCACACGGACACAATATCTATCTGTGTATATGTATATATGCATATATGTCTATGTATATGCCACATAGATGTATGTGTATATATATATACATATATATATATATATATATATATATTTATTTATTTAGATGTAGATGTATAAATGTATATATATATATATATATATTGAAAAGAACTCCAACCAGGACTCTTCCTGCACGCTGAAAGCTTCACGGAGTTGCTGGCCCCTGCACTCGCCGGCACCTGTTGGTTTCAAACGGCCTCCTGGCCGCAGAGCCTCGGTCCCTCAACCCTAAAACCCTAAACCCCAAACCCCAAACCCCAAACCCCAAACCCCAAACCCTAAACCCTAAACCCTAAACCCTAAACCCTAGCCCTAAACCCTAAACCCTATACCCTACCCCAAAACCCTAAACCCTAAACCCTAAACCCTAAACCCTATACCCCACCCCAAAACCTTAAACCCTAAATCGTGAAACCTGAAGCCTTCAATCGCTATCCCCATGAGCCTCAACCTTCTAAGCTTGATTTAGGCTTAGGGTCCATTGGTTTAGGGTTTGTGACTGCTTATAGGGTTTAGGGTTATAGGTTTCAGTTCTCAGGGTGCTTTCACCCGAAACCCTAAACCCTGAACTCTAAACCCTAAACCCGAAACCCTAAGCCCTAAATAACCCTAACCCCTAGACTCTAAACCCTAAACCCTAACGTTCGGGTTACCCGACATCCCAAGCCCGAGCCCCTTTTTCGAATGCCCAGAGACCTGTTTAGGGCTGAGGGCTTCGGGTTTAGGGTTTTCAGACACCCATTCAGGGTGCTGGGAGGGAGGGTGGTTGGGGGGGAGGTGTGGGTTGCAGGTCTTAGCCCTAAAGCCCTATAAGCCCTACAACCCCGAATGCTGACCTCTGAGCCCTAAACCCCCTAAACCTAAACCCTCAACCCTAAACCCTAAGCTCTAAGCCCTAAACCCTAAATCCACATCCCCCATCCCTAGAGCCAGGGCCGAGACCCCAAACCCCCAAACCTCGGGATGTTCACCCTTACACTATATAACTGTTCTGGATAGGAATTGAAGTACCCCCCCCCATTTATAATCTCTATGAAGGACTGTTAGTTAAGGGGTTAGTATAAGGGGGCACGTAAACCCCTATACCCTAAACCCTAAACCCCTAAACTCTAAACTTGAGAAAACCCTAAGCCTAAAACCCCTAAACAGGCGTTTGGCTCCGAGCTGATTCGGAGCCACCGTGAGGCACAGCTTTGGGCTAAAGCATCCGGGGCTTTTGGCTTAGGGGCTTTCAGGTTTTTGTGGCGGGAAGTAGGGATGTCAGGCTTTCGGGCCCTGGGAAATTTCAAAGAGTTTGCAGGGGTTTCGGTTTTTAGGGCGTTCGGGGTTTGAAGGATTTTTTCTGGTTGTAGGGCTTTCAGGGGTTGAAGAGGTTTGGGCGATTCCCCCACAGTTTAGGGATTAGGGGTTTAGGGCAGGGTCTGGGGCTGTGTGAGCAATCAGCTGAGGCGTTCTTGTCCAGTTCATGTGAATCTGAACCTTTGGTGATCTCTGTCGTTGGGATAGCTCGATCCCGCAGTGCCGACAAAACGCCGGAGTTCAACCCACCCAAACAGAAGGCCGGTGGCTTCTTCTCAAGGAATTCGGAACTACGCTTCACACCGTGAAGCCCTAGACCCAAACATGGACAAACGCCGGGCACGTAGTACCCTAAAGCCCTAAGCCCTATAGCGTCCTAAACCTAAACCCTAAGGGTCCATGTACCTAAATAAGGAATAATTACTTGAGCCTTAAAGTACTTCCTATATGGGGACTTTGGGGCCCAAGTATGTAATAATGAGGTACATGAACCCTTAGGGAAACCCTACGCATGCGCAAGCACAGGGCATCTCTGAGTCTCTGAACCCTATCAGGTCTTGTAAATTTGGGTTTCAGTTTTGAGGAGTTGAGGAGTTGAGAGCTATAGGATTGAGGTTTTAGGGTTTAGGGTTTAGGGTTTAGGGTTGAGGATTAGGGGTTTGGGGACCATTGGCTGGAGGGTTCTGGGACCCCTGCACCAGGACTTGGCCAAACGCTGCTGCCTCCCTCGATTCCTTCAGAGGCTTCCAAGCGGGGGTTTTCCTTCTTTTTTCCCCTAAACCCTAAACCCTAAACCCTAAACCCTAAACCCTAAACCCTAAACCCTAAACCCTAAACCCTAAACCCTAAACCCTAAACCCTAAACCCTAAACCCTAAACCCTAAACCCTACAGGATCCTAGGGTCTAGGGTTTAGGGTTTAGGGTTCAGGATCCTAGGGTCTAAGGTTTAGGGTTTAGGGTTACCAGCTGGGGTCTGTGAAGTGAGGGACCACGCTCTCTGCCCTCTACACTCTACTTTTTGTGTAGTTCCTATGTCTCCGAGTCGCCCCACAGTAGCCCTGTGGATACATCCCTGGCCCCTGACAAGGGTCCCTGCATTAGTGTCCCTGAAGAAACTTCAAGTGTTTAGGTTCAAGGTTTAGGTTCCCCCGCTTCCTGGGTTTAGGGTGAAGGTATTAGGGTTGGGCGGAGGGTGGGATGGGGGGGTTGGGAGGCAAGAACGCAGAGCGCGGTCGCGTAGAATGTCCTGCATACTTGGGGTTTAGGATTTAGGGTGTAGGGTTTAGCCTCAACCCTAGACCCTAAACCCTATAAACCCCATACCCTAAACCCTAAACCCTAAACCCTAAACCCTAAACCCTAAACCCTAGACCCTAGACCCTAGACCCTAAACCCTAAACCCTAAACCCTAAACCCTAAACCCTAAACCCTAAACCCTAAACCCTAAACCCTAAACCATAGCCAGCCAAGGTTGCTTGCGCAGCCGCGGCAGAGAGTTTTCAATGGCTGGGTGGATTTCTGCGGGCGGCAGCTGTGCCTCCAAGCGTCCTTTGGCTACATGCGAACTCTAAACCCTAAACCCTAAACCCCAAACCCTAAACCCTACTCACCAATCCGAAGCCAAAGGTTTGTGGGAGCTCTGTGATCCTGAGGTCTGTGTCAGGGTCAAACCGACCAGGTTTAGGGTTTAGGCTTTAGGGTTTAGGGTTTAGAGTTTAGGGCTTAGGGCTTAGGGATTGGGGGGGATGGCATACAGACTCCGGCAAGGCTCGTCGAACATCCCCTGGGCCTTGGTCGAAAGCGCGGCCTTCGTCGAATCCCTTTTCGAATGCAAAAAAGGGCTGCGGTGCTTCGTCGAACTTCGTATTGGCCTGTTGGGGCGGGCGTCCTGCTCATCCCCCGTCCTGATGCGTTTGCCCGTAACTTTGTCGTGCCTAAACTTTAAACCCTGCACCTTGACCCCCTAGCCCTAAGTCCTTCAGAATCCGCCTGTGCATGCCCTAAACCCTAAACCCTCAACCCTAAACCCTAAGCCCCCAAAGCTTCTGGTCAGTCTCCTGGAGTGAGCCCCGGAGTAGTTCTTGTTTGCGCTCGGGTTTTCTGATCAGGGCTGGTTTCGGCCTTCAGGATGTGACATGGTTATGATGTTTAAAGTGCTGGGTTTAGGGTTTTAGGGTTTAGGGTGTTTTCGGGTTAAGGGCTTAGGGTAGAGGATTTAGGGTGTCGGGTTCAGGGGTTTAAGGGTTTAGGGTTTAAGGGTTTAGGGTTTGGGGCTTCGGGCTTAGGGCTTAGAAACCCCTATGCCCCAAACCCTAAACCCTAAACCCTAAACCCGGCTTAGAAACCCCAGTGACCAGCGACTCCCCCCGAGGATCTTGGCTGGGAAGTACATGGGCACGGCACCTGTGCGGCAGCTCATTCTGGCTCAGGGCTTAATCGGCATAGAAAGGGACTTATAGGTTTATATAGGGATGTAGAGGGACTTATGGATGCATGTATATGGCTTCAGGGCTTACCGGGTCTAGTGCGAAGCGGATCAGACGCGCCCCCCCCCCCCCCCCCCCCCCCCCCCCCCTCCCCCGCCCCCCAATCCAGAGCGCGCAAGGCATGGGTGCTTAAGTGTTTACAAAAGGCCGCATATTTGGGGTCGACTTTTTCGGGATGAAAAGCGGTTTTGTTCAGTTGATTAGGCGTTTGTTGTTTGTGTTATGTTTTGTTGCGTGCCGCTGTGCCTTGTGTCTTCTTTTGCCCTTGTATATGTGCAGGGCACTTGGCTGTTTGGGTGCCAAGTCGGCCATCGTTGCTGTAGGGTGTGCACACGAAACCCTACTAGCAACGTAAACACTAAACCCTAAGTTGATGTGCATTAGGGGGATGATGTCAGACTTGGGGCTTTATGCCCTAAACCCTAAACTCTAAACCCTTTCTCTAGGCTCTAAATGGTTTTGTTTGGGCACTATTGCTTGTCCATCAGGTTATGGCGCGTCAAGGCGGTTCGACAGGTTGGTGTTTGGGGTTTAGGATTTGCGGTTTAGGGTTTGGGGTAGGTATCGTGGCCCTTCATCGTGCAGATTATCAGCTGGAACAGGCTTTTAGTGCCAGCTTGCGTGCTTGCACATGTTGCAAACTTTGAGCTATTCAAGCACGCCAAGACAGTAGCCCCCGAACCTTTGCTATCCTGGCATAACATTTTGCATGTTTAAGGGTACTTAAACTCCACAAGGAAGAGAAATCTCAATTTAGTTAATGCTATCCCAACCATGAACTAGGAACCCAGTCTCTTGGAAGGACACCTGATCTTTCCAAACACCCCCCGCCCCCCACCCCAATATCTCAAGCCAGACCAGCCCGAAATCCTAAACCCGTTATGCATTTTGCAGGAATCTATCACCCTAAACCCCAAGCCCGAAACCCTAACCCTCAACCCTGAATCCTAAAGACACGACGCCCGAGTTTCAGCCTGAACCTAAACCCCAAACTCCAAACCCTAAACCCTCAACCCTAAACCGTAAACCCCAAACCCCAAACCCTAAACCCTAAACCCTAGCCCTAAACCCTAAACCCTAGCCCTGGCAGGTGACCCCAGAGAACACGCCGGACGGACTCCCTGCTGACGTAGATTGGGAGGTCTCCACTGAGGCCTCGGTGCAGGGGTGATCGGGTTTAGGGTTTAGGATTTAGGGGTTTAGGGTTAAACTTAGGGTTTAGGGTTTAGGGCTAGGGTCTAGGGTTTACGGTTGTTTAGGGTTGAGGGTTTAGGATATTAGATCCGGATGGCGCCTTCTTGCCAGCCTCCACAGACCTACAGACCGAAATTCTGATCCCTGTATCTCCCAGAGGATCCGTTTGCAGTACTATTCGGGAGCTGGGTTTCAGGGTTTAGGGTTTAGTGTTTAGGGTTTAGGGTTTAGGATTAAGGGTACCATCATGGAATTAGGTACCCAAAAATCCATACTAAATAGGGTTTTGGGGGTACCTAATTCCACAAGGGTACTACAGATGTACCCTCTGGGTCCTGAACTTCATCTGAACCCCACACGAGCCGAGCCTCCCAATTACTAACGCCCTGCACCCCTAAGCTGTTTCCTTTTGTGGTCTATCTGTACGTTTCTTGAGTACATTCTCGCGGGTTTCGTTTTTCTGCCAAGACTACTACCGCACGGTTTCAGTTTTTTGAATTGCAGCAGAAGTTGTATCTGTTTAACCCTACACCCTTAACCCTGAACCTTCAGCCCTAAACCCTAAACCCTGAACCCTGAACCCTGAACCCTGAACCCTGAACCCTAAACCCTAAACCCTAAACCCTAAACCCTAAACCCTAAACCCTAAACCCTAAACCCTAAACCCTAAACCCTAAACCCTAAACCCTAAACCCAAATTCGATTCCGTTAAGGCATGTGCCGAGCTGCGACCGCTCACCCTCGAGAGCCGAGGTGCGTCAAAGGGTTCAGGGTTTAGGGTTTAGGGTTTAGGGTTTAGGGTTTAGGGTTTAGGGTTTAGGGTTTAGGGTTTAGGGTTTAGGGTTTAGGGTTTAGGGTTTAGGGTTTAGGGTTTAGGGTTTAGGGTTTAGGGTTTAGGGTATAGGGCGACCGCTCACCCTAGAGAGCCGAGGCGCGTCTTAGGGTTTAGGGTTTGGGGTTTGGGGTTTGGGGTTTATAGTTCAGGGTTTAGGGTTTAGGGCTTAAATAGCAGGTTGTCCGAAGCCTAGCTTCAACTCTCTGAGAAGGTCTGCTCATTGTTTGGTGTTTCTAGGATCCGGAATCACTGACATGTCGGTCAGACGGTATCTTGCAGCGTTGTGTTTTGGGGTTTTAGGGTTTGGGCCTTGGGGCATTCCGGATTTTAAATTCGCTGCTGCGGGCATAAGGATGTAGGACATTTATGAATCTGAGCTTTAAGTGTGGGTTGGGATGTTCTCCCTCATACCAACAGTCCTTAACAGAGATGATAATAGGGGGTACGATAATCCCTATTGAGGACTGTTAGTCTCAGGGGGACCATCCCAGGTGTGGGGTCTAATTCGTGTGTACGCCTCAGGGACTGTCTTGTCTTTGTGGGCCCGACACCCTAAGCCCTAAACCCTAAACCCTAAACCCTGAACCCTGAACCCTCTACCCTAAACCCTAAACCCTAAACCCTAAACCCTAAACCCTAAACCCTAAACCCTAAACCCTAAACCCTAAACCCTAAACCCTAAACCCTAAAACCCTAAACCCTAAACCTTAAACTGCAGTGTCGGTCTCAGGGTTGGCCCAGGGAAGGGGTGGAAGCTAAGCGACTCACGGCAGGAGCTCGGGCTGTATTTTAGTTCCATAAGTTCCGAAACTCCAAACCCTAAACCCTAAACCCTAAACCCTAAACCCTAGACCCTAGACCCTAGACCCTAGACCCTCAGCCCTACCCGAAGCCCGCAACCCTGAACTTTCAACCTTGAACCTTACAAGCGTGCGGGCTTTGGGGATCCGGGCCGGGGGGTTCTTGATGACGTTCTTCCGAGATTCCATCCCCCAAGAGCCAAACATCCCTGGGGTTCAGGGCCTAGGGTTAGGGTTTAGGGTTTAGGGTTTAGGGTTTAGGGTTTAGGGTTTAGGGTTTAGGGTTTAGGGTTTAGGGTTTAGGGTTTAGGGTTTAGGGTTTAGGGTTTAGGGTTTAGGGTTTAGGGTTTAGAGTCCGCATGTTGCTTACTGGAAGGCTCAGGGGTAGATGTAGCGAAGGCTTAGAAGTACCTCGCCGAACTATGATCATGCCTGTTCTGAGTCTGCCTTTTGGGCCACACCTTTCTAAAGCTCATTTACTCGACGTCGAACTTCGAGCACTATTTAGACTGTAGCGAAACAGGATGTTGAAGGAAATAGCTCTTGGTCATGAATTAAGCGCCTGTGTCACCCTAAGCCCCGCTAGGCCGGAAGCCTCTCCAAGGCTAATTTAGTGCACAGGGTCCAGGGAGCGTTGGTTGTTCTAGCAGATGTCGGTTTAGGGTTTAGGGCTTAGGGTTTAGGATTGGCCCAGCAGGCTCCGTTTGCCACCGCTACGTGGGCGCCCAACTCCAGGAGGAACAGTTAGGGTTTAGGGTTGAGGGTTGTGTGTTTAAGAGCCTGAAAACCTGAAAAACCCTATATCCCGAAGCGCGAAACAGGATTTGGTGTTTAGGGCTTTTAGGGTATAGGAAACCCGAAAACTCCAGGACATTGCACTTAAATGTCAAGTTGCATTACCCAGCTTGCCTGCGGGACTCTGATCCCATCCCTCAGGCTCGAGAGGACTCTGCCTTACGTTTGTCGGGGCCAACAGACCCAGGGTTTAGGGTTTAGGGTTTAGGGTTTAGGGTTTAGGGGTTTAGGGTTTAGGGTTTAGGGTAGTGTTAGGTTGTTAGAAGGGGGGTCCGTCTTACACTTCACTACTGTATGGCATGACCTGGACACCCGAAGAGAGCAACATGTGGACCCGAAGTCTTCAGGACCTGTGGCAGAGGCATCACGAGTGGCTGGTTCTGGACCGCCGCCTCAGCCTGGATCGGCAGCTGTGGGCCACTGGGCCTAATCCCCAAACCCTGAACCCCAAACCCTAAACCCCAAACCGTAAGCCCTAAATCCCAAACCCTACACCCTAAACCCCAAACCCTAAACCCCAAACCCTAAACCCTAAACCCTAAACCCTAAACCCTTAACCCTTAACCCTTAACCCTTAACCCTTAACCCTTAACCCTAAACCCTAAACCCCAACCCTAAACCCCCAACAAATAGACTGAGACTCCTGGGGCCCATGCTCCATCATGCCGACCGACTCTTTTCTTAAGGCCAGGGGTGCCCCAAAGCAAGGCGCCCCGTCCTTCAGATCCTGGCTCGAGGATCTTTGTTTGGGATGTGCCGCCCCACGGTCCCCCCTAACCCTAAGCTAGCACGCATCTCCATCAAACCCTAAGCCTGACCCCTCAACCCTCAACCCTCAACCCTAAGCCCTAAGCCCTAAGCCCTAAAGCCCTAAAGCCCTAAACCCTAAAGCCCTATTCCTCAGAAAACCAGAATTTTCGGATCCCAGACCCTCGACCTCGCCTCGAGGATGCAATCAGGGCCCACGCTTTGGTGGAAGCGCCCGACATCCGCTGGGAGGCGGCCGGGGTTTAGGGTTTAGGGTTTAGGGTTTAGGGTTTTGCGTCTAGGGCTGAGGGTCTCTAAACCCTGAACCCTAAATCCGCTGAAGGGCTTCCAGTTCTAACGGCTACTAGGGTGTAGAGAGACACCAGAAGGCCCCTACATTGGGCTCTGAGCACCGTGTCGTCGGCTATAGGTCCCCTTAGGGTTCATCTGTAGTTGTCAGGACTTCTGCAGTTCCCCCAGGAAGTAGGAGTTTAGGGTTTAGGGTGTAGGGTTTAGGGTTTAGGGTTTAGGGTGTAGAGTTTAGGGTTTAGGGTTTAGGGTTCAGGGTTTAGGGTTGATGCTCGCCCTGAATTTCAGGCTGGGAGCGGGCGGGGGGGAGGAGAGGGGGTTGGATACAAGGAATCCTTGGAACCGGGTGGAGACGGGGAGGGGGGGTGGCTTGGGGCTTAGGGTTTAGGGCTTGGGGTTTAGGGCTTAGGGTTTAGGGTTTAGGGTTTAATTAGGGTCCGGGTCGCGTGTGGTCAGATGTTTTGGTTGATTGTCTGTCATGTGCTCTTTGTGCTTGTCCCTGCTGGAAAGCAGGTCCGTTTGGGGTACGGGGAGGGGCATCCCAGAAAGAATGTCCGTTAGCTGCATGTAGTTATTTAGCATCATAGCGCGGAGCACATTCTTCGGGTTTGTGGTTGCCAGGGTTTCTGGTGTAGATATGCGACAGACTTTGAGGAGTGGACTTCGAATCACAAATCACTTCCAGGCAAGACAGAGAATCAGAAACCCTAAGCCCTTATAAACCCCAAACCTCAAACCCTAAGCTCTACACTCGAGGATGGAGACTTGCACTGCGGCGTGCGCGGCACCTCGACAGCAACCGCACACATGTCAGCTTGGAGTTTAGGATCTAACTTTTGGGTTTCGGATTTTCGGTGTCTTCCATTTATTTATTTATTATTTATTATTTTATTTTTTTTTTTTTGGGGGGGGGGTTGGGCCTTTATGATTATTAGGAGGGTTTGGTGTTTTGAAAAAGGAATTAGGGCGACTCAGAGGAATGCAGAGAGACCAGCAAGATCACATACGCAGCCCAGTCAGACCAAAGAGGTGTTGCATTGCGCTTTTCGTGAGACCTTGCTAGGTCTTCGTTTTGGTTTAGGGTTTCGGGTTTAGGGTTCAGGGCTGATGGGTTAGGGTTTAATTATGTAGGGTTTATAGTGTTTATAGGGTTTTCAGGGTTTCTAGGGTTTCTAGGGTTTCTAGGGTTTACGGTTTACCGTTTAAGGTTTGAGATCAATCTTGAGAAGGCTACCCCTCATCCCTAAACCTTAAACCAAAACCCTGCTGCAGCCTCCTTGGCCATGAAAACCTGAAGACTCTTGCGGCCCTGCTTTATGTAATGTAGTAGGGTCGGAATAATTGCTGGTAGTATTCCCTGACGGTCCCTTTCCAAGTATACTCTCATACCACCCCCTCCCCCCCCCCCAAAAAAAAAAAAACAATATTCTAATCATTAAGGCCCCTATAGTACCTTGGTATCCGGTGGCTTCGAAGAAGGGCCTGGAGCCTCAATAGGGGCGGGGTGACGTTCAAAAGCCTTAAACCTTATACACGTCAGCCCTAAAAGCCTCAAGCCGAACCCTAAACTCTAAGCCTAAACCCTAAACCCTTCAACCCTAAACCTTATACCCTATACCCTAAACCCTAAACCCTAAACCCTAAGCCCGCACCCAAGCCTTAAGCTCCCAAAGGCCCAACACCCTCAACCCTGTGAGCCCCTACACTCTACAAGCCTTCAACCCTACAGGCTCCAAACCCCGTGAGCCCTAAACCCTGATTCCCTAAACCCTGAACCCGAAACCCTGAACCCTGAACCCTAAACCCTAAACAAAGGCACCGCCGACTTTCGTCCGGCTGTGGATCCCAGCTTCTTGGACCTCTCGGAGACCTGGAATGCTTTATGAGGTTGGGGTTTAGGGTTTAGGTGTTCGGGTTTAGGGTTTAGGGTTTAAGGTTTGGGTTTTGGGTTTTGGGGTTTGGGTTTTCGGGTTAGAGTTTAGGGCCTTGGGCTGTACAGGGCCATACAGGGCCTTGTGTTCGGTCTAGGGTGTATAGTGTGTTTGCGTTTCGGGTTGAGCGTCCATATGGGACTCAGGGCTTAGAGGGTGTAGGGTGTTGGGTTCAGGGCTTGTAGGGTACACTTTAGGGTTCCCCTAAACCCTAAACCCTAAACCCTGAACCCTAAACCCTAAACCCCTAACCCTGAATTCTAAACGCGTAGTAAGGGCCCCTAATTGGATCTCTGTTGGCTCAGTGTTCTAGGTACATGCTTGGGGGGGGAGCAGCAAGAGTATGGTGTTGAGGGTTTAAGGCAATTTAAGGTTTTAGGGATTAGGCTTGATTGAGGTCCCGCGTGGTGAAGACCCAATGATCTCCAGTGGTTCCTTTGTCGGTTTAGGGTTTAGACCCTAGACCCTAGACCCTAGACCCTAAACCCTAAGCCCTAAGCCCTAAGCCCTAAGCCCTAGACTGATTGTGGAGATTCCCTTGCTGGTGCCGATGTGGGGTAGCTCATGGGGGTTCAAAGCAGGGTCTATGCGGGTTTAGAGTTTAGAGTTGGGATGTTCCCCCTTGTACTAACAGTCCTTATTAGGGATTAGGGTTTCGGGTTTAGGGTTGGGATGTTCCCCCCTTATACTAACACGCCTTAATAGTGATAAAGTACCCCGACTATAATCCCGATTAAGGACTGTTTGTATAAGGGGGAACATCCCAAGGTTTAGGCTTTATAAAGCTTGGGATGTAGGGCTTACTAGGGCGCGCGCGCGCATGCGCATATGCATGATTTTTCTTTTTGCGTGCCCCGCTCTCCGGCTCTTGCACCACACTGGTCATGTCTGAAGAATTGGGGGGGGTTCGGAAGTTAGGGGTACCTTATTGGGGCTTTAGTTGTATATGAATCTTGTTCGAACAAGAGGACGCAGTCAGTGTTGCCGAGCTTGCGCTTTGTTGGACATTCTGCGAAGGAGGGCCACCCGTTGCTGCTGTGTCCATGTCAGCCCACAGCATTTCCACACTGATGTTTTGCGGCAAGTCCGTGATGGCCAGGACTTGCTACCTATGCAACCCGAAGGTGCCAAGTGCCAAAGCCCAAACTGCTGGTCGCCGGGTTTCCGTGCCAAGCCAACAGCGTCCTGTGAAATCCATCCGGTTTTCCCCCGGAAAATCCGAGAGGATGCTGGATTGGGCGAATCGCAAGTTTAGGGGAGCACCTGAAGGATGCCTAGGAATGGGATCACTTCATCCACGTCCCTTAAACCGTAACCCCCCCCCCCCCCTGTGCAGCCAGCACACGAGATGAAGAGCTTCAAGCCTATGGCTCCCGTACTTGGGTCCACAGCGCTGAACCCCAAAGTGAGCCGCAGCCCGAAACTTCCAACTGCTGAGTAATTAAAGCCGAAACCCTAAACCCTAAAACATACCTGGACCCTCTTTACCTACAGTTTTCTGAATTATACCTACGAACTAAGGGTAGTTATTGCTAATCCGTAGGTAAATATGTAGGGTCCCAGCTTTCCCCCAAACCCCTAACGAAACCCTGAATCCAACGGCGAAATGTCAACTAACCCACCCTGGATGCTAAGCGTAGGCCCTCAGGTCCGACGAAGAAGCCCCTGAACCCTAGGCAAGCCCCAATCTCGCATGTGCTCCAAGCTCTCAGCTCCACAGACTGCGCACTCTCAATTCTAAGTGCGTAGGCCCCAAACCCTAAACCCTATAAGCACTCCAAACCCTAAGTAGGCCCTCAACCCTAAACCCTAAGTGGGCCCCAAACCCTAAACCCATCTAAGCCCGAAGCAGACCCCAAACCCTAAGCCTGTCTGAAGGTCCCACAGCACCCAACTCTAAGCCTGATGTCCTTATGTCCTAAGCTTAGGGTTTAGGGTTTAGGGTTTAGGGTTTAGGGTTTAGGGTTTAGGGTTTAGGGTTTAGGGCTTAGGGCTTAGGGTTTAGGGTTTAGGGTTTAGGGTTTAGGGTTTAGGGTTTAGGGTTTAGGGTTTAGGGTTTAGGGTTTAGGGTTTAGGGTTTAGGGGGCCCAAAGCCCGGGAGCCTACATGCCAAGGACATGGTCGTCGTCTTGTGCCCGGATGAGTTCAGCCAGCCACCATCGGATCGGCCCAGGCGACGTGATGGAAACCCTAAACGCGAAACCCGACACCCTAAACCCTAAACCCTAAACCCTAAACCCTAAACCCTAAACCCTAAACCCTAAACCCTAAACCCTAAACCCTAAACCCTAAACCCTAAACCCTAAACCCTAAACCCTAAACCCTATTCGGGTTTCAAGGGTTTGGGGCTTAAAGTGTAGGGTGGCGGCGAACTCGAGGACCCCGAGTAGGCCCTTGTTCCCTTGTTTAAGGTTCAGGTTCCCTTGTACGCCCCTTTAATTCAGAAGGGCACCCTGTTTATTCCCAGGTTAGTCCTGGGTCTAGAACTAGTTTCAGGTTCTGAAGGCTTTCAAAGTGTAGGGTTTATAGGGATCGGGGTGACTTTTTTGGGTTTGTATAAGGGTTCGGGTTTGTGGGTCAGGCTGAGGAAAGCCTAGGGCTTTCTTCAGGTTGATGGCCTGAAGGGGTTGCTCTACACCCAAGCTCAAACATTCAACTCAGAGCGTGATCCCATGTCCTTCAACCCCAAAACACCCTTCGCCCTAGACTCCGAAAACCTTAAACCCTGAAACCCTCAACCCCCAAACCCCTGAAACCCTAAACCCCTAAAACCCTAAAACCCCGAAACCCCTAACCCCTAAAGAGGCTCATCTGCTGGGCCTTAAACCTCTTCGCCCCCTGCGCTTGGATGCTGTCCAGAGGCTCGCTGACTGACCCGCTTGGAGGGCTTTCACGGGCTTAGGGTTGAGGGGTTGAGAGGTTGAGGGGTTGAGGGATTGAGGGGTTCGGAAGTTAGGGGTGTAGGGTTTAGGGGCTTGGGCTTTGCAGTTTTAGGGGGTGAAGCCCCTCTAATCTCTAAGAACTGAATCACGGCACGAAAAAACCCAAGCGCACTGGGCTTAGGGTCTCCCCTGCCTACAAATTACAGCTTAAACCGTCTGATGGAGTGTCTAAATATTCTACTCAACATGAAAGTATGAATTTCTCGTCTGCCTAGACCTCTGACACTCCACCCCAAGCCCCAAGCCCCAAACCCCACACCCTAAACCCTAAACCCTAAACCCTAAACCCTAAATCCTAAACCCTAAACCCTAAACCCTAAACTATAAACCCTAAACCCTAAACTATAAACCCTAAACCCTAAACCTCAAACCAAGCCCCACACCCGGCCACCGCACACCTAGTCGTAGTCGGGCCGTAGTAGCCTCTTGAGTATGGCAGCTAGCTCTTCGACCTCCCCCGACGCAGGCTCCAGCTGGCTGGAGCAGTTGGACCACCAGGCAAATTTCTTGGTTTTGGGAGTTAGGGGTTTAGGGTTTAGGGTTTAGGGTTTAGGGCTAGGGTTTAGGGATTAGAGTAGTGTAGGGTTCTTGATATGGTTTAGGGTTTTTGGGGTTACGAATTCAGGGTTCTGCAACTTCGACACAGGAGCTTTGTTCATCAGTCCAACAGCTTGAATTCTTGAGATGATGATCGCGAAGGGCCCTTCCCAGGATGGGCTATTAGGGTTTAGGGTTTAGGGTTTAGGGTTTAGGGTGTAGGGTTTAGGGTTTAGGGCCCGATGATCCCCAAAATCAACCCTATAAAGGGGCTTTTTAAGGGGGTTATAGGGTATAATAGCCCGTCCTGGTCGCAAAGACAATCAATCTCGGTGGGCGCCCGAGGGTTTAGGGTTTAGGGTTTAGGGCCTGCTGCTGGGTGTGGCGTTGCGTGCTGCGCAAGATGTGCAGGGTTTAGGGTTTAGGGTTTAGGGTTTAGGGTTTAGGGTTTAGGGTTTAGGGTTTAGGGTTTAGGGTTTAGGGTTTAGGGTTTAGGGTTTAGGGTTTAGGGTTTAGGGTTTAGGGGCCTCTTCAACAAATGTGGCATCCTGTAGATTGTTCAGAGCTGCCAATGCATCTGCCTTGGTTGCCTTTCAACATCTGTTTGGGCGTACGTTTGGGAGGGTTTTGGGTGGGAGGTGGTTGCGGGAGCCCTTCAGAAGCCTTAGGGGTTTAGGGGGGGGGGGGGGGGGGGGGGGGGTTTAGGGGTTTAGGGGTTTAGGGGTTTAGGGGTTTAGGGGTTTAGGGGTTTAGGGGTTTAGGGGTATAGGGGTTTAGGGGTTTAGGGGTTTAGGGGTTTAGGGGTTTAGGGGTTTAGGGGTTTCGGGGTTTCGGGGTTTAGGGGTTTAGGGGTTTAGGGGTTTAGGGGTGTGGGGGTTTAGGGGCTTTGGGGTTTCGGGGTTTAGGGGTTTCGGGCTTCAGGTTTAGGGGTTTAGGGGTTTAGGGGTTTCGGGGTTTTAGGGTTTAGGGGTTTCGGGTTGAGGGATGAGGGGTGTAAGGGGTACAAATGTTTAGAGGTTTGCGTGATCTCTGGATCCTGATCCAGGCTCGGGGTCGTCATTTTTTGTCTTTTTTCATCATAGGCTTAAGCAGAGGGTGAAGGGATTCTCAAGGTTTTACGTTTCAGGGTTAGGGTTTGGGGGTTCCAGGCTGTAGGGCTTCAGGGTTCATAGCGTTATAGGCGAGGTTTCAGTGTCAGCAGGATTTTGGGACTTCTGGGTTTCGGGCTTAAGGGTTTCTCGTTTTGGCGTTTTAGGGCTTCAGTGGTTTTAGGGCTCCATGGCGAAGGGATGTATTTACGGCGGAGTGGTTTGAGAGTTGCCGAAGTAGCAGCTAAATCTAGGGTTGTACGGGTTCGCTTTCGTTTTTGTTGGTCGTTCGTTTGGGGGTCGGAGGGGGCGGGGCGGGGGGGGGGGGGGGGGGGGGGGGGGGGGGGGGGGGGGGGGGGGGGGCGGGGTATCTTAAAACCCCAAACCCTAAACCCCAAACCCTACACCCTAAACCCTAAACCCTAAACCCCAAACCCTACCCCCTAAACCCCTAAACCCCACACCCTGAGCCCCAAACACACTCAACAGGCCGCCTTTCGCCACGAGGGTGCAGCTGCGGCCCTTGCACCTTGCCCTTCGAATGAGAGGGCCACGGTGTAGGTCTACTGTTACGAGGCGGCCCAGGGGCTTAGACTCCTTGAGGCCCCGAAACCCTAAACCCCAAACCCTAAACCCTAAACCCTAAACCCCAAACCCTAAACCCTAAACCCCAAACCCTAAACCCTAGACCCCAAACCCTGAACCCTAAACCCTAAACCCCCAAAAACCCTCAAGCGTCTCATGCCCTGGACCCTCAACCCCAAAGTCCGATCCACCTCGAAACTGATATTGCATTATATATATATATATATATGTATATATATATATGTAATACACATATATATATATATATGTGTATAACCCTTCAGCTGAAAGGTGCTTGGCCGGCAGCTGGAACGCGCGGTTCTCTTTGCTGGCCTGGAGCAGCTCGTCCATGTACCTCGACTTAATACCTGGCATGTTTGAGCGTTGGGGTTGCAGGAATTGGTTTAGCCTTAAGGAACTGACCCGAAATGACCAGCACTCATTATCGCAGCTATGGTTGTTTTAGAAGTAATTTGTGAGAGGCCCTTTAAATTTAGCACGTCCTCGATTGGGGGTGTTCGGCTTCAGGACCTAGAATTCTTTTGCAAGTCCTAGACTAAGGGTGTTTGGCAGAAGGGACTAGAATGTAGGTTAGTCGGTTGTAGGGCTTCTCTAAACTACGGCTGGTTCCTTTCTGATTTTGTGTACCACCCAACTACCTTCGAGAGCGTAGCACGTCGGGGTCCCCCCTCCACGAAACTCCACGCCCTCACCCTACGCCGCAGCCGCTGGTCGCGCGAAGGCGACTCAAGTGGGCCAGCAGATGGCTGCCCCTCAAGCTTCGACTGGCAGCCGGCGAAGAAAAGGCCGCCTTAGAGGGCTTAGGGGTGGTTTACACAACTCGGGTTTAGGGTCTCCTTTACATCATACAAGCAATATGTATGGGGGGTTTGCGGAGTCTTTGGCTTTGGTTTTCAATTCAAAGGATTTGTATATATATAGAGAGAGAGAGTCAGAGTGAGAGAGGGATAGAGACAGAGAGAGTGAGGGAGACAAAATGTTATATTTGTTCAGTCCTTGCATCCTTTGCTCCCCATTTCCCCCCTCCCCGACGGAAGCTTGCCAAAGAGAGAGAGGAGAGAAACTGAAGGGTTCAGGGTTTCGGGCTTTTAGGGCTTAGGGTTGAGGGTTTAGGGTTCCCCCGAAGGCGTATACCCTGCCCCTTGTGTGGGTATCTGACTTCCCTATTATAGTACCCTGACCCTAAAGACACAGGCTTTTAAGTGGTTGCTACTCTTTGCCGAAGGCGCCGCGAAAGCCAAAAAGTGGGCCGAGCCCCGTGACGCCTGGCCTGGTTCTGGTTTCTGGGTCGGGTGCAGGGTTGTGGGGTGCAGGCTTTAGGGTGCATGACTTGAAATATTTCGAAACTCTTCTCTAGTGTTCAGGCTGAAACCCTGCACCCCAAAACCCTAAACTCACTAAACCCTAACAAACCCTTAACCCTAAACCCTAAACCCTGAACAAACCTAAACCCTAAGCCCGAGGACCCAAGCCTTGCTGATTCTCAAAAGGAACCTCTGGGCTTGCGAAATGCCGCCCGATCGGTCGAACACAGGGGTCCCAAAAAAACAAGTAGTAGGGTTTAGGGTTTAGGGTTTAGGGTTTAGGGTTTAGGGTTTAGGGTTTAGGGTTTAGGGTATGGGGCCTAGGGTTCACAACCCCAAAAACCCCTATTTTGCTGATTAAGGCCCCGTAGAGTAGTGCCTCGTGAAGACGAGCCAGGGCTGTTTTTGTTTGACCCTGCTGCTTTCCGTTTGGGGTTCAGGGTCTTAGGCTTTCAGGGTTTAGGGTTTCAGGGTTTAGGGTTTTAGGGCTTTTAGGTTTTTAGGGTTAAGGCTTTGTGGATGATGGCTTGATGGGCATAGAGTCTACGTAACCTTGGACCAGCGACCCAATTGCTTCATGTTGGAAGCACTTTTCATGCCGTGCAAGGAAAAGCCTTCACAGGACGGTAGCCTTCGTGCTCACTTAGCACTCCCCCTCTACATCTTCTCCAACATTCCGAAATCCTACCCCACGAGCCGAGGATTTGCGGAGTGGCCGCAATCCCAATGGGCTCAATCTCTACATCCCGCGACGGTAGCTCGCCGCTGATGAACGGCAATTGCACGTGCCAAATGCCAACGGGGTGGTTTTCGTTAGGGTGTCGATGTGGTTTAGGCTACTGGTGAGATTTCCCAAATCGATCAGGTGTAACTTAAAGGTCATCCTATATATCCTCTGTAAGGGGTGGTCAAAGGTATGCCTTCATATCACTCGCGAACAGGGTTTCCTCAGGGTTTCGGGACATTTTGCCCTTCCAACCCCTAAACCCCCCTGGAATACTACGATTTGCTTAAGAACCCCCCCCCCCCTCCAAAGAACAAAGATAAGAACCCCCACCATTACCCTTATAAACCTTGAAAGGAAGACTTTTGTTAAATTTTGGGCGGTTCTCAGGCAAATAGTAGAAAGCCTAACCTTCTCTAAAGGGTCCTGATGTATGGGCCCTCCGTCCGTATAGGGTATATGCGGGGTGTAAAAAGGGTACCCTTTAAGGGCCCGTAGATACCCCTAAACCCTAAACCCTAAACCCTAAGCCCCTAAGCCCCTAACCCTAAACCCTGAAACCCTGAAACCCTGAAACCCGAAACCCTAAACCCTAAACCCTAAACCCTAAACCCTAGACCGATAAGGAAACTGTCAGACGTGGACAAGGGCGTGGTGCCGGGTGCGGCCAAAGTCGCCGCCAAGCCGAGGATCCAATTCTTGGGCCGCCCTGCGGGGAATTCAGCAAGTTAGGGTTTAGGGTTTAGGGTTTAGGGTTTGGGTTTAGGTTTAGGGTTTAGGGTTTAGGGTTTAGGGTTTAGGGTTTGGGGTTTAGGGTTTAGGGTTTAGGGTTTAGGGTTTAGTCTGCGTCCCTATTTGAGAATCAACTATAGGTACCTTCATATCCCCCTTCTATAACTCCTTTTGCAGGGCCCTAAATTACTAAACCCTAAACCCTAAACCCTAAACCCTAAACCCTAAACCCTAAACCCTACTTCCCTACTTCTGGCGGCTTGTGGCTTGAAGTGTAGGGCTTCTGCGGTTTTTGGTTGGATAGGAAGAGCTGAGGCTGAGGAACAGAGGTTTGGGCTTATGGGCCTATGGGCTTGGGGTTGAGGGTTTAGGGCTTCTGCAGAAGGCCCTCGAGCTCCTAGGCTACTCACACGCGGGCCTCACCACTTGCAACATGACAGGGCCGTTTCAGGTAGCTACTTGTAGGGTAGGGTGTGTAGGCGGACACTGCACAACAGTCGATTAAGCTTAACGCCCAATACCCAGACCCGACAGTGACGCCCCTAACTTACATATCATCCCCAAACTCCCTAAACCGCAGACCCTAGGGTTTAGGGTTTCGGGTTTAGGGTTTAGGGTTTAGGGTACACCGTGGCCCTTTGGTCGCCCCGAGGCTGCAACATCCGCGCAGGTCAAGACCTCAGCGCCTTGGGGCATCTGTTGGCTACGAAACCCCCCCCCGCCACGGGCCTTCGGTTGTAGAGCCCTGAAGTGATGTGAATAACCCTAAACCCTAAACCCTAAACCCTAAACCCTAAATATAAACACATATTCACATGTATAGATGTGTACATATCTAAAGATATATACACACATGCAGAAGTCTACAGATCTAGGCCTTGGGGTTCAATCGTGCAAGGCCTTTAGGTTGAAGTTTATGGTTGGGGCTTGGTGAGGCTTTACGAGGGTTCTCTCTTCGGATTTCGGGTTTAGGGTTCAGGGTTTAGGGTTTAGAGTTTAGGGTTTAGGGTTTAGGGTTCTCTCCTCGGATTTCATACCGAGGGCTCAGGGGCTTCGGAGGCCAGAAGACCCGTCGTCGGGGCCATCCTGGGCCATGCCCCGGAATTGATCAAGAAGATATGTATAGGGTTTAGGGTTTAGGGTTTAGGGTGTAGGGTTTAAGGATTGGGTTTAGAGTTTAGGGTTTGCATGTAACGTGCGAAAACTGTGTTATCAGCATAGGAACTTTTTAACAACCCTAAACCCGGAACCCTAAAACCCACATAGATACCTGATCTTGGTCTGCTCAGGGTACCCACTTTCCCCCCAAAAACAATCGAAAGAAAAACAACTACATATATATATATACATACACTTAAAAAACCAAAAACAAAACATCAACTTAAACCCCTAAACCTGAAACCCTAAACCCTGGAGCCCAGGCAGTTTCTTGCAGAAGCACCGCCCGAGTGGCCGAGAAGCCGAACAGCTTTGTGTTCGTGTCGAGGCCAGTGATCCGGAACCTCCTACGAACTTGTAACCCTGTTTTGTATGGTTTAGGGTTTAGGGTTTAGGGTTTAGGGTTTAGGGTTTAGGGTTTAGGGTTTAGGGTTTAGGGTTTAGGGTTTAGGGTTTAGGGGAGAACGTAAGATCGGACTCTTTTTTTTCAACTAGCTCACTGAACTGGACAGCCGCCATGATGGCAAACATACTGGTTCTGAGTGGGGGAACTTCGGTTACGCATGGTGTTTTTTGGGGTTCCCAGTTAAGACAGATTGTGTTTCGGGTACCCGCACTCAGAGAGAGCTGCCCGCGTAGTCCCTTAGTTTGTGGTGGGGTTAGTTTAGTTCTCTTATCAGGCTCTTTGAGTCTACGACCCTACACAGTGCTGCGTCGGAGCCTTAGGTAGATGTGTTGCGGCGATCGCTGCATTCGTATATTATAGGATTTAGGGTTAAGGGTTTAGGGTTCAGGTTTCTGTTCCAGGATGAGGGTCAAACATCGGCTTTGCGATTTTAGGGGTTCAGTCGGGCTCTGGGCGCGGTGTAGGCCTCTTGTCACAGTTGGGTAACATTTTGCATCTTTAAGCGTATCTAAACCCAACAAGGAAGAGACATATAAATTGTACTGCTATCCCAACCATGAACTGGACCTGAGCCCTAAACCCGAAACCCTAAACCCTAAACCCTAAACCCTAAACCCCCTCTGGCCAGGACCTTCCCTCTGCTGGCGATGTGGAAGGATTGATCGAGGATGCCTGCATCGTGTCTCACTACGAGTCGTCCACCAGTCTGAGACCTATTTGAACCCCAATCAGGTCATGGGGTTTAGGGTTTAGGGTTTAGGGTTTAGGATGTAGGGTGTAGGGCCAGAGCTCTGACACCCCAAACTCTTGGGCTAGGACGCCTGGTGTTGCCCTCATTCCCTTGTTTGTGGGACCCATGACGAGTGGGCGAAAGCTTTTTTGGGGAAGCCGGTTGACAAAGGAAGGCATGTATCAGAGCCCAAGATACACTTATGCCTCTACTCATCGCGATGGGACCTCACTGTAGGCCGCCTTAAGTCCCAAAAAAACTCCTAAACTCTAAACCCCAAGTCGCATCTTAAGATGTCGTAAATGTCGAGGTTAGCTATTCTTCCCCCCGTTCGATACTTTGATACTCAGTAGGTAGCGTTGTGCTACAAACCCCTTCGAGGCCCAAAGGTTATAGCAACTTGAGGACCCTAAACCCTAAACCCTAAACCCTAAACCCGCAAGTTTGGCAGACTGAGGCAGATTGGAGCTCAGTGGCTCTCTTTCGCAGGCATCGGTTGTGCAGCTGGCCAAGAAGTGGCAGGCATTTGGAATTTCGGGTTTAGGGTTTAGGGTTTAGGGTTTAGGGTTTAGGGACCTCAGAACGACATGTCGCTCTGAACGACAGGTTGAGTCATAAGGGGGGGAGCGCTGAGCAGATTGCAACGGGTTGTAGGGTTCATCCCAAAAGCACCAGACTGTAGGATGATGCTCCTTCTGTAACATCCAGGCAAATAGTGAGTCATCGCTGTTCAACGCTGTTCACAACGCTCCGGGTAAGCCGAGATTGCTTCCCACTACCTTCGAGCTGTGAATACGGCACCTGTGGCCGTTAAAACGCCTGAGGTATCTCGACCACCCTGCGTGTGTCCTCCTTCCCCCCCCCCCCCCCTCCGTTAGGGTTTAGGGTTTAGGGTTCAGTTAGGGTTCAGGGTTCAGGGTTCAGGGTTCAGGGTTCAGGGTTCAGGGTTCAGGGTTTAGGGTTTAGGGTTTAGGGTTTAGGGTTTAGGGTTTAGGGTTTAGGGTTTAGGGTTTAGGGTTTAATAGGGTTGAAGAGGGTTCCGGCGCCCTCAGCCCCAAAAGCCCTTCTAGCAACCCCCCGACGGCCAAAGACACTGGAGGCTGACGTAAACCCCGCCTCGCCCTCTCACGTTAGGGTCGAGGGTTTAGGGTTTAGGGTTTAGGGTTTAGGGTTTAGGGTTTAGGGTCTGATTTGCCCTGTGCAGTCCCCTACACGAAAAAGGGAACTTCTCAGGTCAATCCCCCAAGAGACCCCTGGCATATAGCGACTAGATTGAGTCTGTCATGCTGGGCTACCAAGGCGACTAGATTGAGGGAATTAGGCACTATATTTCCTGATAAATACCCGTTAAGGGATTATATAGGTTGCCTCATTCCCTCAGACCCTACTCGGAACCAGCAAGCTGTGGGGCAGTTTAGGGTTTAGGGTTTAGGGTTTAGGGTTTAGGGTTTAGGGTTTAGGGTTTAGGGTTTAGGGTTTAGGGTTCAGGGTTTGGGGTTTGGGGTTTAGGGTTTAGGGCTTAGGGTTTAGAAGCCGAAGAGACGGGCAGGTCCTGACCGGCAAGTGGCTGCTCTTCGTGCCGGAGTGGCGTGTAGATGAGCTGCGCCTCGACCCTAAACCCTAAACCCTAAACCCTAAACCCTAAACCCTAAACCTTAAACCCTAAACCCTAACCCCTAAACCCGAACCCTAAACCCTAAACCCTAAACCCTAAACCATTCTGTTTTATGCTTCGGTCTGTGGATTTTGTCCCTAGTAATCCCCCCCCCTCCCCCCAACAACAAAAAAACAAAGAGCTGCCCAAACTCCACTGCACACCGCGCAGTGGAGGTGGGACTTCACAGTCGATTCAGGTGAGGTATTCCTATAGCACCCTCAAGCCCAATTAGTATAAGGTTATTTATCGGGTTGGGTTATTTCGGGGTATTTAGGGTCATTTAGGGGTCATTTGGAGATACTTAGGGTTATTTAGGGTGATTTCGGGTCATTTGGGGTTTTTAGGGTCAAACGTAAAGCCTCTTCAAAGACACCCACGGGCCTGCAAGCGAACATCCTTCTGATGGGTTCGGCCTTGGCCTTATTGCTCCGGGCCTATGCTCTAAGCCCTCGACACATCTCGGGTTGGTTTAGCGTAGCTTTAGGCCTTACAGGTTTTAGGGTTGAGAGTTTAAGGTTTAGGCTTGCGGTTTGGGGGGTTAGGGCTGGTTTAGGGCGCTTAGGCTTTATGGGGATGAGGATGTAGGGTGCACCGTCAGAGGTTCGATTTGGCGGCCAGACGCCTCAGGGACGGGGAGCTGCCCAGCTGCTCACACATTGTCGTGTCTCCGCCCGGAACGCGCCTTGGACGCGCCGTGAAACCCCATAAACCCGAAAAGGCTCCAATAAACTTCAAGCCCTGAATCCTGAACCCCAAGCCCTAACCACAGCCCTATTCACGGCAAGGAATGGGCCTTTCAAAAAACCCAACCCCACCAAACAAGCCTAGTTCTCAAGGCCCTCCTTCTCAGTAGCTGAGTGAGCACACTTTCCACTTTTTTGGGATACTAGAAGCCCCTATAGAACTGAAAGTGGTGTACACTTTTTTGGGCTTATGAACTCAGCAACTAAGTTTTGCAATCATGAGCCTAATCCCGAAGCCCTACAAGCCAAACAAGTCCTAGAACCACTAAATCCTCAACCAAGGAAAGCACATGCCTAGAACACCTAAACCCTAAACCCTAAACCCTAAACCCTAAACCCTAAACCCTAAACCCTAAACCCTAAACCCTAAACCCTAAACCCTAAACCCTGAACCTGAACCCTTGAAAGTCCAGCGCCTCTTCTTGCATTTCACCTAAGCCCTTGGGGGGGGGGGGAGGCCGGGGAGGTGTAAGAGGGCTAGGGTTTTACAGTTTAGGGTGGTCGGGCTTAGTATTCAGGATGATAGGGGGGAGGGAGGTTTATAGAGCTTAGGAATTTGGGTGGTACGGTTTAGGGTTTGGGGCGCCGTGTTTGAGTCATTATTCATTGCATTGTTTAGGGTTTGGGGTTCGAGGGTTTAGGCTGAAGGGTGTCAGAGCTGAGCAGAGGGTTTCGCGAGTTTGTTTTGAAGGGCTTAGGGCTTCGGGTTGAGGGAAATCCGAGGTATGGCACTGACCCGACGAAGTACATGCTGAGCGCTCACACCCCGGACTTCACAGATCAGCAGTCCGTCATGCTCCTTGGCTCTAACCCAAACCCTCACATTCTATGGAGTGAGAGGAGACAAATGACACCATGCACCAGCAACCCGAAATGGTCGAAGAGTGTAAATTATGGTCCCCGTTGGTGTCTTTATTATAACGTGGGTCCCGTTCATTTAGGGTACCCCAAAAAGGACCATGTTGTTTGGGAACTGACCATATAATCTGGAAGCCCTCAGTCTCAAGACTCCTACAAACTTCACGGGCACTTGCATGGTCTCTCTCAGCGTGCTCCTAGCCTTACTTAAAGAGACTTCAATGGAAACCCCAAACAGGGAAGTAGGAATAAAGATCGGAATATTCCTACCAGGGCCCTTCTATTCCCTGTATGCTCCTGCTATATTCTTTGCGTTCTCTGTTTGGGGCTCCTATTATAGTCCGTGTATTACTCTACGTGGCCATGTCTGTCATGTTCTTTGAGGGGTTTTTGGGGTGTGGGTTTAGGGTGCATATCGGCCCTTCATCGAACCCTAAACCCACAATCATGGAAACCCCTGCTACAAGCCCTACAAGCGACTCACCCCTCGGATCTTCTGCCCCAAAGCCGGAGACCCTAAACCCTGAAGCCCTGAAACCCTCAAGCCCTAAAACCCTAAGCCCTTTAATTATGAAGTCTTATAAGGCCCTAAGACCTAAACCCTAATCCCTAGACCCCCCCAAACCCTGAACCCTAAACCCTAAACCCTGCAGACCCCCTAACCCCTAAACCCTAAACCCTAAACCCCTAAACCCTACAGACCCTACAGACCCCCTAAACCCTAATTCCTCAACCCTCCAAAAAAGCCCAAAGGGCGCTGGGGAAGACCCTCCGCGTCGCCGCACGGAGTGGCCTACGAAGCCCTGCCGGGGACCCTCTCTTTAGGGTTTAGGGTTTAGGGTTTAGGGTTTAGGGTTTAGGGTTTAGGGTTTAGTGTTTTGGGGTTAAGGGTGGCCCTCTCATCAGGGTTTGGGATTGGGGCTTTGCTTGTGAGATGGTTTCGGGTTTAAGCCGACAACCAGTCCAGGCGAGCATTATGTACAGAAGCAAAAATGAATCAACTCCACCCTAATATGAACTATGGCTATCACCATCGCTGAACTCATTCTGCATGCTTAGTCGTTTTGAAGCTTTTGGCCATTTCTGTCACTTTGGGCTAACCTTGCAGCGGTCAAGTCACCAGAGTCTGAGCCGAATTGGCCGCATTGCCATCAGAATGCTGCGCGTCTGCGGGGTCTCTGGTGAAGAGCTCGCCTCCTTGACCACGGAGGAGTTGATGGAGAGCGACATCGCTTGTCTGAAGCTCCACTTGCGCCATCTGCACGGCTTTCCCGTACCATGGGCTATTCGGCCCTATAATCCTAAACCCTAAACCCTAAACCCTAAACCCTAAACCCTACACCCTAAACCCTAAACCCTAAACCCTAAACCCTAAACCCTAAACCCTAAACCCTAAACCCTAAACCCTAAACCCTAAACCCTAACCAACCCTACAAGAGGGCTTTGTTTAAGGGCTTCGAGTGCAGAAGAGCCCAAACAGGTATGCCTCCAAGAGCTCTTGCATGGCAACGCCCGGCTGGCGGATGAGGCGACCTTAGAAGCGCCCCTGGAGATGCAGCTGGTGCTCAAGTCCCTTAGTAGCTGAGTCAGTTTAGGGTTTAGGGTTTAGGGTTAAGGGTTTAGGGTTTAGGGTTTAGGGCTTAGGGCTTAGGGCTTAGGGTTTAGGGCACTTCCCTAAGGGTCCATGTGCCTATATGGCACACACCTGGGCCCTAAAGCTACTATACAAGAGCCCCATTAAGGCCCAAGTATATACTGTAGAGGTACACGGACCCTTAGCGCTTTTTTTGGGATACCATAATCCCCTATAGAACTGAACGTGTACACTTTTTTGGGGGGGCTGATTGAACTCAGCAACTCAGGTCCGTTGGTGCCGAGACAGCGTCTGCAGACAAGGAGTTTTTTCACGCTGCCGCCAAAGGCCTCACTGAGGTGGCCCGCCTGCTTTTGAAAGCCGGCCTTGGCGCGGACTGTAGGGATGATGCCCGGAAGACGGCCCTCATGCTTGCATCTTTGCTTTACTGTAACTTCAGATGCTTGTGGCCTTTTTGGGTTTATTGGGCTTCTTCAGAAGGCAGCTGAAAACTTTGATCTATGACTACCCTCCTGAGTGCAGCCAAGGCATGTGACACGGGCCATTTGGAGATTGTACGCTTGCTGGTAGAAGCTGGCGCGGACCAGGACTTGCGGGACCGCCGGGGCAAGACAGCCCTGATTCATGCATCTGGCAATGGGCACGTCGAGCTTGTGCACTTGCTGGTACAAGCTGGAGCTCACAAGGACTTGAGGGACAGTGAGGGCAAGACAGCTCTTGTTCGTGCATGTTGCAATGGCCACGTCAAGATTGCACGCTTCCTTTTGCAGGTCGGTGCTGACAAAGACTTGGTGACCCGTAGTGGCCATACAGCTCTCATGTGCGCATGTAGCAATGGTCACGCAGAGATTGCGCGTTTGCTGATGGAGGCAGGTCCGGACGAGGACTTGCTCATGAAGGACCTTGAGGGCAAGACAGCTCTCATCCATGCATGTTGCAATGGCCACGTGGAGATTGCACACTTGCTGGTAACAGCTGGTGCTCATAAGGACTTCAGGGACACTCAGGGCAAGACAGCTCTCAGTCATGCATGTTGCAATGGCCACGTGGAGATGGCCCACTTCCTGGTGCAAGCCGGTACTGACCAGGACTTGAAAGACGTTTGGGGCAAGACAGCCCTTATTCATGCATGTTGCAATGACCACGCGGAGATTGCACAATTGCTGGTACAGGCTGGTGCTGGCAAGGACTTGAGAGACACTCACGGCAAGACCGCTCTTGGTCGTGCATGTTGCAATGGCAATGTCGAGATTGCACACTTGCTGGTACAAGCTGGCGCGAGCAAGGACTTGGGGGATAATAAGGGCAAGACAGCTCTCATACACGCATGTGACAAGGGCCACGTGAAGATTGCACGCTTGCTTCTGGAAGCCGGGGCGTACAAAGACTTGCCGACGCATCATGGCTATACACCCCTCATGTCTGCATGTTTCAATGGCGAGGTGGAGATTGCGCGTTTGTTGGTGGAAGCTGGTGCTGACAAGGACTTGCGGGACCGTGATGGCAAGACGGCTCTCACATTCGCAATGAGCGCGGGCCTCCCAGAGACCATCCGCTTGGTCTCCCAGTAGTACAAGAGCTTCAGGTTTGGTACCCAAGACTACAATAGGGGCCTTAGTAGCTAGAGTGGGGGGGTATTATAGTACTAGATGACATGCAATCCCCTTCTACTATTTGCTTAAGAACCCCCCCCCCCCCCCCCCCAAAAAAAAAAACAAAAATACGATTATTCCTTATGAGGGCAATATTTGGGGAGCCCTTTAGCAAATAGTAGGTTTCAGTGCATTCCTTGAAACGACATGAACCCTAAAAGGGTTTGGGGTTAATACCTTAATAGCTGGATGCGCCCTTGTAGCTGACTAATCTGCTTGGACAAGGTCTTGCACGCGTAGCCCCTCTTCGCAAAAAGGGTTTAGGGTTTAGGGGATTCAGGGGGATTTGGAGTTTTCAGGGCTGTGGGTTTTCCATGACCCTAAACCCTAAACCCTAAACCCGAGGGCATAGCGGGTAGGGGAAACCTATGAGCCCGTACACCCTCAACCCAACACTTATACGCCCGAACCCCAGGCCCCAGGCCCCAAACAGTTCCAGACCTTACGCTAAGGGTCCATGTGCCTATATATATATATATAGTATATACTTGGGCCCTTGCTATATGGGAACCGCTTTAAGGCCCAAGTACAAACTATATAGTTACATGGACCCTTAGGGTTAAATCCTACAAACCCCTTGCAAACCCTCTATTCCTCTGTAGGATTTTGCAAGCCTTACAAGCGTTAAACCCTGCAAGGCTTGTGTAGGCCAAATACAAACACTTTCAACCCATAACGCCTATAAGCCCTATATCCTCTCTGGGCTTAACTTCCAATCTTCAACCCTGCGACCGAGTCCTAGGCAACCGACCGAACGCCAACACGCACCGAAACCCCGAAGCCCTAGCTGTTGGGAACAAAAAGCCCCGAGCCCGAATCTTTTTAAAGTACCCTCCAGACCCCCCCAAAAGGGTTGAGGGTTAAGGGTTTAGGGGTCAGGGGAACCCCAACCCTTCAAGCACCTCACCCCGCAAGCCTACATCCCCACACACCTGAACACCTGAAATCCCACATGGAGTTTACGAAAAAAGGGCCCCTTAATACAGTCCCCCAAATAGTCGGCTTTCTGCAGACCCCAAATCAGGTATACCCCGATTTTTGGAAGCCCCTATCCTAAACCCGAAACCCGAAACCCTAAACCCTAAACCCCTATTTTCGGGCCCAACAAATCCCCCTTAGAATGTCGGAGCTCCGCAGGACTGGGGTGAGCTCCGGGACGACCCCTTTGCAGCTCCGGGAAAGAAAGCCTCTTCGGCCTTAAATGTTCTTGTGAGATTTGGGGGTTAGGGTTTAGGGTTTAGGGCTAGGGTTTAGGGTTTGGGGTTTAGGGTTCAGGGTTTAGGGGTCAGGGCTTTAGCATCCCTGGATGTCCAGAACATACCCAAACTGGGTTTGGCAGGGTTACCGAGCTTCTGAGTTCAGTAGACTAAACTTCTGGGCCGTTCAAAATCTCCAGCGCTTTTTTCATAATTCCCCATGAAGAACTAAATGAATAGATAAATAAATAGATATAAAAACAAGTATATATTTATATAGACTAGGTTTAGGGTCGGCACTACATGCCAAGCCCGAGAGGGTTTAAGGCTTTAGGGTGTACAGTTGCCCTACCTTCAACCCTAAACCCTAAGACCTAAACCCTAAACTCTAAACCCCAACACCTCAAGACTCCAAATTTGTAAACCAAACACGTCCAGGGACGTCCCAGCACTCCGCGAACGCAGCGCAGAGGGTCGTTGAGGGTTTGGGTTGAGGGTTCAGGGCTTACCTTAAGGACCCACAACCTTGTTCTGAAACCCGTTTTCCGACTCTTGGGGTAAGCTGCAAAAAGGAGGTTTTGGGTTCTCAAGGTAAGTTTGCCCTGAATCCTACAACCTAAACTCCTCTGCTACCAACTTGTTCACTGCACCTTGAACCACCGTCGAAGAACAACCCTTTCCTGGTCGCCGCTCTAAGCGCTGAGGAATCCTACGCGAACTCTTATGCCCCTTGGGATCCTACCCTAAATCTTAGACCCTGAACCCTAATCTGTTGTGAGAGATCTCAAGATTGAAGGTTTAGGGTTTAGGGTTTAGGGTTTAGGGTTTAGGGTTTAGGGTTTAGGGTTAGGCCTGATTGTGAATAGCCGCCCATCTTGGCCCCAACCCTTGATAATGCAAAGGTCTCCCTCGTTTTCAAGCCGGACGTCTTTACCCGGCTGAACTTGCACAAGACGCTCTCTCTTTCAAAGAGCATGGGTCTTGTGGCTCCGAGACCCTAAACCCTAAACCTGTTACCAGAAAAATCGCGAACCCTAAGCCCTTAGCCCTAAACCCTAAACCCTAAACTCTAAGCCCTAAGCCCTAAGTCCTAAGCCCAGCCCTCAGCCCTCAGCCCTAAGCCCTAAGCCCTAACCCGAACTCCGAGACACTATGACGAGAGCCCGTGTGGTGTCTACGGTGCTGATCTGTCTGCACGGCGGCTCCAGGGTTTAGGGTTTAGGGTTTAGGGTTTAGGGTTTGAAGCCTTTGATGTGGCTGAAGCGTTTGCACTTGCTTGGAGGACTTTGCTCGGAGTTCGGGTTGCTTAAACCCTAAACCCTACACCCGAAACCCTAAACCCTAAACCCTAAACCCCAAACCCTTGGGGCTTCGGCGCGATGGTGTTTAGGCTTGCCGGTGTCGTGCGCAAAGGGCTCTGAGTTTGGGAGAAGCCTGGCTTCCTAAAGTTGCCAGGAACTCCAAGGGTTTAGGGTTTAGGGTTTAGGGTTTAGGGTTCAGGGTTTCGGGGTTTCGGGTTAAGGGTTTAGGGTTTAGGGTTAAGGGTTTAGGATTTAGGGTTTAAGGTTCAGTGTTTAGGGGATAGGGTTTAGGGTTAGCAATGCGCCAGAAAGTCTCTAATATTTAGGGTTGGGGGCTTGGTCTAGAGTTTGTTCACTCTGGGTTGCACCCGAAGCCCGAAACCCCAAACCCTACTGTAAACCCTAAAGACCCTTAACCCCACACCCTGAACCCCAAACCCTAAACCCTAAACCCTGAACCCTAAACCCCAAACCCTAAACCCTAAACCCTGAACCCTGAATCAGAACTGACTATGCTTCGGTCGTGGGTGGATATGAGTCAATACGAGAGTGGGGGACCACGCGCTTCAGTTCTCAAAGTTATGCTCCCCTACGGCCCCGGAACCTCAAAGGTTTTTTTTTTTTTTTTTTTTTTTTTTTTTTTTTTTTTTTTTTTTTTTTTTTTTTTTTTTTTTTTTTTTTTTTTTTTTTTTTTTTTTTTTTTTTTAATAGGGTTTGGGCTCAACAAAAAAAGAGACCCCATAACTTAGGGGATGGTTCGTGCAATGGGGTTTGGGTGCCGGGAGGAAGGCCTTGGAAGACTTGGACATTGAAATGTTTGCCGGTTTATCTGGCTTTTCGAATATATTCAGCGTTTCGGGGTCAGGGTTGTACGGGGGAGACCTGATTCCTTCTCATGTGCATGCGCCCGTGCTGATCAGCCTCCAAGCGTAGCCGGTGTAGCTTACTTTTCAATACATGAACGCTTTGCCCTATTAAGGGCCCGTGGTCCTCAAGAGTGTATACTTGGATCCCAAAGGTGTAGCAAATACGTTCAAGCCATAGGGTTTAGGGTTTAGGGTTTAGGGTTTAGGGTTTAGGGTTTAGGGTTCCTTGGAATGTGATTCACATCTAGGGCCCCTTTTTCCTTTAGGAAGGGACACATATTTAGTACCCAATGCTGTCTAAAACGCCTCTGGGTATTCCTAGAACAAAAAATCCTCAACGCACCTCGAGGAAAAATGCGTATGGCATCAAGACCACGCTGCACGTGCTCGACTTGTGATGATGGCCGAGCGGACAGGCATCTTCTTTTGGGGTTTGGGCTTGGCGGGCTGAAGGTCCCCTAAAGGTTTAGGTTGAAAACCTAAACCCGAAACCCTAAGACCTAAACCCTAACAACCCTAAACCCTAAACCCCTAATATGTCTTCTTTTAGGGGTTAGGTGTGTCGGGTCTAGAGTCTAGGGTCCCCATGGAAGGTATTTTGCCCAGGGCTCAGGGTTTAGGGGTCGTCTGTCAGATGTAGACATGGGCGTTGGGTGGAGCATGGCTACTGTTTGCTTGAGAACCACCCCCCCCCCCCCTCCCCCCGAAAAAAAACAAAAACAAATAATAATCCCTATGCTGCCCTTGTAACTGAGTTTGTCTTTTTTTTTTTTTGGGGGGGGGGGGGTTCTGAAGCAAACGAGCAAATAGTAGATGGGGCGTAGGATTTGAGAAGTTGGTTAGGGCTCTTGGACTTTTGTACAGTCTGTGCCGGTGCCACCTGCCAGAACAGGGTCCGATCCCGACGAAAAAGAAAGACCTCGCCTCCAAGGGGTTTTCAGGGTTAGGGTTTAGGGTTTAGGGTTTAGGGTTTAGGGTTTAGGGTTTAGGGTTTAGGGTTTAGGGTTTAGGGTTTAGGGTTTAGGGTTTAGGGTTTAGGGTTTAGGGTTTAGGGTTTATGTTTTAGAGCTTATGTTTGAGGTTTTGGGGTTTGTGGTTGAGGGCTCAGGGTTTTTGAGTTTCGGGTGGTGTGGGGAATGCGGGGGTTTCCCAAAGCAAAGGTTCCCGTGAATTGTGCCGCCGTGCATAGTCGTCCTCAATCACTTCCCTGAACGCGAACTCTGACACCCAAGCCCAAAAACCGAACTCTCCGGACGTACTCCTGTTTGGCCATGGGTGCGTGCGCAACAGCATTGCTTCACCCTCAACCCTAAACCGCAATTATGTGCACAAGTAAGGGGCATCCCGGGCGTGAGTGTGGCCCCAATTCCTGGGCACAAGCGAGGCACAAGGTATCGGCATGAGAGAGGGAAGGACATTTCCTGTACGGTCCCCAGTATGGGCCCTTAATTTGGGTCCCTCGAGAAAAACAAGCCTCCATATGCACTATACAAAACAAGGGCCCACACATCGGCTCCCTAGAAGGAAGGGTAAGGGACCATACTAAGGGCCCATGCTTCCAACCTTAGATCTTAGATTTCCCAAATTGGGGGGGTACATCCTAATGGGAGTAGAATCCTCCTTGAAAGGACACCCACAAAAGTGACCGCTGCTTGTTCGAGCCGCCCCACCCCCCACTGCCAGTTATCGGGCTAGCCTGCAGTCCTCAATGCCCAGATACACCCCGGTTTATTACACCCTAAACCCTAAGCCCCAAGCCCTAAACCTTATGGTTCAGGGCTTGTTCCCGAAACTGCGGCCGAAACTGCGGCCGAAACTGCGGCCCTCAAACCCTAAACCCATAGTCCTGTACAAACACACTGTAGTCTCTCCAATGCAAGCGCTACACCCTTAGGGTTTAGGGTTTAGGGTCAGCAACACAGTTGTACTAAGAGTCCTTAATCGGGATATAGTACCCCCTATGATCATCCCTTTTTGTCAGTATAAGGAGGAACATCCCAAAACCCAGCCTATAAGAAAAGTGAACGCCCTCAGCCGTTGCCCCAAGGCCAGACCATCAAGATAAACCTCCCTGGCAAGAGCAGACGCCGGGAGGAGAAGACCGAGGCACGTGAAGGGAATCAAGGGTTTAGGGTTTTGGGTTTAGGGTTTTGGGTTTTGGGTTTAGGGTTTAGGGTTTAGGCATCTAGAATCTAGAAGCCCCATGATCCTTAGGCAGAGCACCCTCAACCTTCAGTACCGAGGTATAATCATGGAAAGATCACAAACAGACACGCGTTAACGGCTTTTTCAGCTCCAAAGATTGCAGAAGAAACTACAGCAAGTGATGAGTTAGCCTCCAGACAGGATTTTGTTTATTAAACTGGGTCATCAAGGGCATTGTTTTTGTGCACAAGTTCTTCACGGGGGGGGGGTTAAGCAAGCTAATCATAACACCACGTAGTTTTCGTATCTGGCGTAGTCTGATGAATGGCCACAATTCAAGTTCAGCCATTGCAACCAGCAATTCGGACACAAACATAGTGAATCGCCGAAGGGAAAGACGACAAATCGAACAACCCGAGCTGTAAACCCGAAGGAAGGGTATCCGAACAGAAAGGTGCCTAAACCCTGGCTGAGAGCCTGTGTTGGCTGACTGGGTGCTTTCCGAACCTCCTAGCCCGCCCAAAACACCCCCAAGCCTTCTGGAACATGTCTGTTGCGCAAGTCCGCCCACAAACAAGCCAACCCTATACCCCAAAATATACCGTTAACACCAAAACCCTAAACCCCCAAACCCCCAACCCAAACCCAAAACCGTAAACCCTAGACCTCTAAACCCCAAACCCTAAACCCTAAACCACCCTCAACCCTAAACCCCAAGCTCTAAACCCTAAACTACCCTCAACCCCAAACCCCAAACCCCAAACCCCAAACCCCAAACCCCAAACCCCAAACCCCAAACCCCCAAACCCTAAACCCTAAACCTAAACTCCAAACCCTCAACCCACATGGGCTTTGCCTTCAGGGTGGCTACGCCGGCGGCTTCGGGGCTCTAGCGCCTGGGAGTCCCAGAGAGAGCAGCAGGGTTTAGGGTCTAGGGTTTAGGGTTTGGGGTTTAGGGTTTGGGGTTTAAGGGTTTAGTGTTTGAGGTTTAGGGTTTAGGGTCAACCCTCTAAATTCGCTACATCGTCTAAACCCGAAGCCCCAAACCCCGGCTGGTACTCCAGGCCTTTGAAGCATGTAATCCTTCTACGGTGTAGGGTTTAGGGTGCCTTCATCACGATTCCTTTGCTGGCTGCACTGAAGCTGCAAAAACCCAGAGCTCTCAGCCTTCTGGCCCTGATGAAGACGACATCAGAAGCTGCCTTACAGGAAAGGTCACCTAACTCTACCCACCTGTTGCTCAGGGCAGTGTAGTTTAACTTGTAATACACCCAAACTCAAGCCTGTATGAGTCTACTTGAACTGAGGCTTCCTTGTGTAACGCCCCAAGCCCTAAACCTCAAACACTCCGAAGGGTTTAGGGTTTGGGGTTTAGGGTTTAGGGTTTAGGGTTTAGGGTTTAGGGTTTAGGGTTTGGGGTTTAGGGTTTCGGGTTTGGGGTTTAGGGGTTAGGGTTTAGGGTTTAAGGTTTCAACAGCTTTGACCAGGCCTCCTCCCCCGTCAGCGCCGTCCCGACGGCAGGCGTGCCGGCAAGGGTTTAGGGTTTAGGGTTTAGGGTTTAGGGTTTAGGGTTTAGGGTTTAGGGTTTAGGGTTTAAGGGTTTAGGGTTTAGGGTTTAGGGTTTAGGGTTAGGGTTAGGGTTTAGGGTTTAGGGTTTAGGGTTTAGGGTTTAGGGTTTAGGGTTTAGGGTTTAGGGTTTAGGGTTTAGGGTTTAGGGTTCCCTGGCTCCCCCCCCCCCCCCCCCCCCCCCCCCCCCCCCCCTCGGTCCTCCCACCCCACCCCCTCTACGTGGTTCTTGTGTGTGTGTGTGTGCATATCCAGAAGAGGACCCTGTGAGATTTCATATTCTATTTAGCCAAGGTGAAGCAGGATTTTGGATGTGGCCAACCTAGGTAGGGTAATGAGGCCCAACAACAAACACCCTCACCCTGTTTCTGGCAGAGGCTAAACTGGCCTAAACCTAACGCCTAAAGCGGCAGCACCCCTAAAACCCTAAACTCCGATAACGCAGGAGCCAGCACCAGCTGCAGCGCCTAGCCTGTCGCCGGCGGCGGCGATGCCCGCTGCGGTTCCAGCGCCGGCAGTGCAGGCTTTACGGTTTGAGGGATTTAGGGTTTATAAATAGGGTCCATAGGGTTCAGGTTCTCAGGGTTTAGTTGGTCAACTCTGGTTCATGCGTCAAGCTTGGGTTCTCTTCGGCTGGGAGTCGGGGGGGTCCTGGCCTCGGATGCCTTTTTTTTGGGCTTGGAGCTTCCCTATCAGGGACCCCATGCATCAATACTCTCCTTCAGACCTAGCTCTGATACCCCTCTGACTATGCTAGGCCTCTGCCGTTTCTCTTGCAGCTGCTATTGCTGCATGCGAACCTAAGGTCTGTTGTGGCTACTTTTTTTGCCAACAGACAACGCCCTCCGCCCCTTGTGATCTTTCACATGTTCCCTTGTTGGGTTTGAGAGGATCATATTTCGGAATGTTTTCATTCTTCAGAGGGTTGTGAGGAGGCATCCTGGTAGACCCCAAGTGTCTTACGCCCCTCTCCTGGGTTCAGTAGCTTATCTATGTCGGCTGCATGCTTTGGGCTTGGGCTTCCTCAACCCCTAAATCCAAAAGACCTACACCCTCTAAACCAAAAGGTCCAAATAGCTCGAAAACACCCACAAACCCTAAAAAGACCCAACCTGTTCCCCTTTATGCCAGTCCTTCATAGGAATTATAGTAAGCCCCCGATTATAATCCCCATTAAGGACTGTTAGTATAAGGGGGAACATCCCAACCCCAAACCCCTTTTGGGGTAGCCCTAAACCCTAACCCTAAACCCTAAACCCTAAACCCTAAACCCTAAACCCTAAACCCTAAACCCTAAACGGCCCCAAACCCCCATAAGATCCGGTCTCGGAGGCGAAGGCCCAGGCCGATGACTTCTTCGGCGACTTCAGCGACTTCCAGGTGCGTTTCTTTTCTGTTTTTGTTTGCTATGGTTTAGGGTTTAGGGTTTAGGTTGGGTTTAGGGTTTAGGGTTTAGGGTTTTGGGTTTAGGGTTTAGGGTTTAGGGTTCAGGGTTCAGGGTTCAGGGTTCAGGGTTCAGGGTTGAGGGTTGAGGGTTTAGGGTTTAGGGTTCAGAGGCTTAAGTTTACGGGGTTAAGCTTGGGGTTTAGGGGGTTTAGAGGCTTTAGAGGGTTTCGGGGGTTTAGAGGGTTTAGAGGGTTTAGAGGGCTTTAGAGGGCTCTAGAGGGCTTTAGAGGGTTTTAGGCTT